ATTATGAGAATAATGCAATTAATGCCTATTTTTGGGTGTCGACCCGAACCAACAAATTATTTCAGTTCACAACACTCTTCAAATTTGTTTCCAACACATCCGCAAAATAGCAGTAGAGAGCTAAACTCCTCTCCACCGCTCTCCCCTCACCTCCCCTTCAGTGACCAATACAGCGATCATCAATCGTGCGCAGTTACCTTTGCCATCATACAAATGTCAGTCAAAATACCTGCCGTGTATAACCTTCACACTGACTGTGGTGTTCAGCACAAAATATTTCTGTTATTATGGCAAACTGAACAATATAAAAACTTTGTTTTCCGTTGAAAAAAAAAAAAAAAGAAAAAAAAACGATCAAACTCTTGTTGTTGTTGTTAAACTTTCTTTTTTTTTCCAATTATGTTAACCCAATAAAACCGACAACTTATGTTGTCTGTAAAAGAATAGCACTGTAAAAATCTTCCTCATAAATTTGAAACAAATTTTAGACAACACTTTTCTTTCCTACTTCCTTCCCATTGCCTTTTACAATATAATCTGATTTTAAAAATTGCAACTTCTGTATTCCCTGACTGGAAATTTTTTCTTCAAGCATTCGTCTCAAATAAAGAACTAGAAAAGAAAGACAAAACTAAAGTTCTGTCAGAACACCTTAATAGTGCTTATTTCACTTCATTAGTGTCAATACAGCGGTAGCAATATTACAAAATATCATAACTGTAAAAGACTTTGAAAAAATAGCAGTTCAAAAATGATAGCTTCCTTTCGCATTATTCAAACACAACAGCAGACTTACAGCAAAAGTAAAAACAATGAAAAATTTTTCAAAATTTAAACATAAAATCTCAAATGTCAAATATACATACCTGTACATTGCTTAGAGTCGTTTTTTGGACCCGTAATTGCATGTGCATTTACGCTAAGATCAGAAGGTTTTAAGTCGTATATATTGTTCACTCCACCAACATAAAGGCGTCCGGTGGCATTGTCTATTACCTGTAAATATTTTCAAATTATGCCTAGTTTTCCCGTCTTTACTGAATTTAGTTCAACCTAATAAATATTATAACTGCTAAAAAATTACCATTTTTTCTAAAGGCAACTTTTCGTCCGCGCTGTTTGGATTTACAAACTCGGCTACAATATCGTTGTAACTGGGTCTTTGGCCGCCGGTCTGTTGGCAGCACAATAGCAGCAACATCAGTAGCCAATGACACCATCTCAGTTTGCGGTGTACAAGTTTCGTCGTCGGAAAATGAACAACTTGGGATGGGAAAGGCAGGTGCATCAGCAATCCACACAGCATTACACACCTCGCAACACTTCATTTCATATCCTTCAACAGATAAAAATACAGCAAAATCTGATTTTTTTTTCTTCAACTACTGTGCAGTTACTCCTGCTAGGAAGCTCTAGGAATATGTTAGAGATCGCACAAAAAGTCAATGCTATACAGTGCTTGAAAAAATATAGCTTTTTTATACTAATCAAGTACTGATTTGAAGAAGACTAACCTCAGCAAACACGAAAAAAACTAATAGAGCGAACGAACTCTTGTTCTATGTGCTTTCCGCCGTTCACAGTCACTGGAGGACCCGAGTAGGAGAAAAAATAGTAAAACCAAGATACTTCTTTCTTCTATCCTTTTTTGTTGTTTTGCAAAATGTCTCCAACCTACTTTAAATCGTCTCTGCTTTCTGTACGCACTAAAAATTAGTTGGTCATGAAAAAAAACTAAAATTCTTTTCTACAAAGAAAAAATTAGCGAGACCGTTTATCAGTCATTCTTCAAAAGGAAGCAACATCTACACGGTTGTCAATTACAACTTTTTTCGCATTTTTAAAAGAAAAAACACAAATAAGAAAGAAGAAAAAGCAAATAAACAACAGGTGGAGAAAAAAATAACAGATTCGTTTTTTCTTCTTTTTTTTTGCTCCTACAAAACAGAAACAAGCTTCCTCATGATGTCATGAAAATAAGCGTCAAGTAAGAGAAAGTAACTCGTAAAGCTGAAGCTAAAGAAACACCAGCAGAAATTTTAGACAATTTTACACATAATGAAGACTGGATAATAAACCATTATATAACCAGAATCAAAACGAAAGTCAATTGAAGGAAAAAAAAAACAAAAGTAAAAAAGAAAATCAATGCATTCAGTTGCTTTCAAATAATTATCACATTTCATCAATCAAATGTTTCAAAATTTTTCCTAAATAATACTTTTGTAACATTAGCGTCGTTTCAGGAACATAGCATTCTCTATGTCCGGTAGAAGCCACGATGGCTGTCACCGATAGCGTTACAGCCGACAACATTAACGATTCGGCCATCGACAAAGCTACTACCGGCGCCGTTACTGTTGCTATATTCATTTCTGATCGCTGTGATCGGCCACCAGAATGCCCGCCGATACTCTCTCTTCCCATAAACAAACGATCTCGTCAACTCCTCCCATTGATACACAAAATGCCGACAACAGAACAGCAGCAGCAGCAACAGCACATACGCACCCAAAAACACATTCGTTTTTATACATGCAATAATTAGCAAAAAAAAAAAAAAAAGGAAAAAAAAGGTCAAAACTTGATTATGAGAATTGACAGCAGGATTCAATGAAAACAATAACAGTAAATACTACTGCCACTGAAAACAGATGATGCCGATGATGACAAACAATACTATGTAGATACAGAAATAAAATCGGCAGCATCAATTATTACTAACATCGCAGCTTCTACCTTTGTGATTTCAGAGTAAAGACCGGTCAACCAGCTAACCGGCTGACTACTTAAGTGATACTGTTGTATCCGTGGCAGCATAAAGAACAGTAACTCAAAAGAAAAAATTTCAAACCTGTATCTTCTGTACTAATATACGTTGATTTTGTTATTTGTGGATATATCTTCAAAAGAATCCAAACATAAAAACAGCTATTGTTTTCAGAGCGAAAATAAAAATAAAGTATAAACAAGACGAAAAAAAAAAGACACCACAGGTAATTTTTCTTTTTTCCTTTTCATATTTCCCTTCTTCATTTTCCTCTAAGAAGTTATATCCACGCCAAATTCTACGCTACCAAAGCAAAATATTCTTCTTTTTTTGAATCAAAAAAACAGTAGTAAAAGACAATGAAAAAGAAAAGGGAAACAAAAAAGTGGCCCCAAATAAGCAGGTATATTAACAGCAATATTATCAAGCAAAGTACTGTTAACTATGATTAAAACTGCAAAAAAAAAACTATGCATGTGTAAATAACTTATTCACTAAATAGTACTCTAAATAACAGTAATAATACTAATAACATATCAATAATGACAACATTATAAGTCTGCTTTTTTTGCCTTTTTATTCGTATATTAGCGTCTATACCGCAATATCATCGGGTATCATAAACCAAAAAGTAATCAAAACGACGATCACACCTAAAGACTGCCAATGAAAACACACGAATACAGAAAACACACGAATACAGTGAAATAAAGAAGAAGGGAAAGTGGAAGGGACTCAGAGACTGCAACGAAGACGAAAGAGGTAAACAGAGTAGAAGAGAAAAAAATTAAAACTAGGGGACAACTATCACACATTGGTATAATCCTCTCATTTGACCAAATTAAACCATATTTTTGAGATTTTCAATTTTTACCCGCTTAACATCGTCTTTTGAAATCCAAAAATTATAAATGTTAAAATAACAAAGAAATTCTGTAAGACAAAAAAAAAA